CTCCAAGTTTGATTGCAACTCTGTACGCTTCGCTGCGAGAGTCTAATCGATGATGCAATGCGGTGAAGTTGCGCCGAGGCACGACTCGCGAAAGTTTCAGTGTCATCGGGTGCGTTCTTGAAATTAAATTTAATCTCGAAAAGCTACGTAGCTAGTGCGCCGCGTTACGTACGTAGAGCGCATATAATATAATATACAGTCGGGGTAATAAAAGTCAGCAAACACGTCGACCTTTTCTCGGAAAGAACTTGACTCATTGACTTTGAAGTCGAAAGAGCTCGACTTGAGAGAGAGAGAGAGAGAGAGAGAGAGAAAGGCCACGATGTGACGACGCGAAACACATCGTCGCGTATAATGATGATGTCTATAATATGTGCGGCCGCGCCACCAACGAGCCCGTATATACCTACATCTATACGTCGGCTGCGGGCCCGATGCACAATATCTGCGTCTTATTAAGTGACACTTGCTCGAGCTGACTCCAGAGTACTGCGAGGCGAAAATCCCGAGTGCGAGCTTCGAGTATCGAGTTTTATGTGCTTCTACTTCAATGTCCGCGCGCGGCTCTTGCTTCATTTTCCACGAGCGCATTATATTCCCTCGGCGCGGCCCGAGGTTCGTTTATTTACGATGTTCGCGCAGATGTAATCGTTCGAGCGTGAAAATTCATCTGATAAATATAAACACGAGAAATATTGTGCACGCAACTTTATGCGGCTAGATACACGCGTATTTACGTTATCGCGGTATATAAATCATCGAATCATCGTGCGCGACTTTTTTTAATTCATCGTGGCAACGCTGAGAATTTTCTATAAGCGAAGATTGCGCTTGGGACAAAAACATAGTTACAAACCACGTACAACGTTTTATAGTTTTTTTGGAAATTTGAAGTGTTCTATGTATTAGCAAATTGTACAGTTTTACATAGATATTGAGCCGAGACTAGATATTAGTCAGAGTCTGTTCATTTTTCGCCAACGATTTCTGCCTAAACGCTCTTCAAAAGATTTCGCTCGAAAGAAAAGATAAGCCGATTGTTTGGCACGGTCGTTTACTCAGCGCGGCTCGTCTTCAACAGATTCGTTACCGGCGATATTTAAATTCCTCTAACGCGCGCAGCTGATATACAATAGGCCACATACATGAGAGGCACGTATACATTACGAGCTGAGCGCAGCGAAAAATCTCGCTCGTATCACGTGCAGCACCATGTATATATAGCATAGAAAGAAGATAACATGCAAATTCTAAGCTCGCTTGGCCGTATACACGCGTACGCGCGTTGCCGGCGTAAGAATGGAAATGGCGAAAAAAAAAAATGTTCACCGCGAGCCTACCGGATTCTAAAGATAACGAGCGATCGCTCGGGTGTATTGTTCTCACTGCGCAGTTCTGGAGATGCGAGCAAAGGTATTTCCTGACGGTTTATCCTCCGGAAGCCGGGAACAACGTAAGACGTCAGATCGTAAATTTCAAAGGTTTTGCGCAAAATCAACAAGAGGTGCCCGTACATCGCACGCGCGAGTTGCCGTAAAATTTATAAACTTCGGAATATTTGATACGATTTCACTGGGCCGTGTAATATAGTAAAGAAGGAATTTCAGGTATATAGTTAAAGAACGAACAAGGCATTAATATACTGTCATTGGATCGTAGTATCATATGACTCGAAATAAATCAATTTTGCCAATCAATTAATTAACGTAAGTAGGTATACAATGGAGATTAGCGTCGATTTATCGAACTCCCGAATCTGCCAGCTACTTAATGTATAAAGCAACTGTAATGAATACGAGCACGTCATAATACGCTGGGTGTACATTAATTGTTTGGATAAATAGGCTACATCGTCGCAAAACTCACAAATATATTTCACAAAAATCTCTCACGCGTTAAATTCTCGCGCATTATTGAAAAAGGAATCGAAAACATCAATGAGAGAAGCAAATTCGCTCGATCGATTCTCAACTCTTTGACTATATTTGCATATTATGTGTTCGGGGAAGGATGCGTGGCGCGTATTCGCGCTCCGGCGCCTTGCGGTTCTTCGCGAGGCTATACGCGTTTGCTACATAGATGCCTTAAAATACGTGCGACTGTAATGGGTATATGTAGATGCGAAGAGACTAGGTAGGCGTGTTCCAGAGGCGATATCGCGTCGCGTCCGATATACACAGGCACATATGTGCCGCCGAGGCTTCTCTCTCGCTCGCAAATATTTGTGCGCAGCTCGCGTATATCGACCTAATGGAAGTGTAACTGCCGCAAGATCGTCGGTACCGCGAACATATGGGCAACGACTGATAATACACCCACGCAAAACGTAACTTGGGCTGTATATACGTATGTGTACGTATCGATCTTCGTGCGAGATTCAGCACAAACGCCCAGTATACATGATATAATACACACGCGGGCACGAATATTATAACGCCTCCGTCAGAAAAAGTGAGCTAAGCTAAAAAAAATCCCGCAGTAGTCAAATTTCTCTCTGTGGGACTGTTGGCTGCGCGAGGAAACGAACGAGAAATACCTTGAGCTCGCGATGAATCACGTTCGACTCTGTGTTTCTGCTCACGTCCGAGGTTTCGCGCGTCTTTTTTCCGATTTTCTTCTCTGGAGGCTCGCATGAACGGGCACGTGTACCGATCGGACGCGATTGTCCCGATGTACCGAAATAACGCTAATTTCCATTTCAGCCGTAGATCGACCAAATGCGCGTGCCACCGATCCCATATAATATGCATAAAAGTAGGATTATATTCCAAAACACACATAGAGGCCGAAACATATCGAATGTATAATAAATATAAACGGCGCTCGGATTCATTTGCATGATTGGACGTGCGCGCAGATTTCGGGACCTACAGGCGCGGAGGAATTTTTAGCAGGCCGATCTTGATAATAGGCCCGAAAGGACGGCCGAAACACGGAAGATTAGAGGCGAATACCCGAAGCGAGAGCTGCGGAGGAAAAAAAATACATCGCGAGCATTAGATCGGTAATAGAGCGAAGAAATTAAAGTCGGAGCACGATGGAGACGTTGTTCAAAGGCTTTAGGAATTGGCTAACAGCGCTATAATATCGGCCCGGCAATATGTCAGTACTATTGAGCAAGTTTCTAGCTGCGGTTATTTATCACTTTCTACTCCATTAGCCGGCCTGTAAAAACAAGAGAATACTCTCAAAACAATAAGTCAAAGGCGATACGTGTTGCTTATTTTTCGTTCGACGAATTTCGATGTGCCTCTCTGAAGAAAATCTCGCAGATACCCTCGCACAGGACGACGATACACGCGAGATGTTATACGGTATATATTAGGATATATATATCACGCGTCGGTTCCACTTGTGCGAGCTTGACAATGAGGGACCGACACCGTGTGTGACCGAGACCGGCTATATACTCGTGTGCGCGTGTATGTACGTGTGTGTGTGCAGCTCGAGCGAATTTGAAACGAGCGACAAAGAAGGCGGAGGAAAAAAGGCACGCGTAGACATTTACTCGGTGTTTAGAGGCTGTGCGCCGTGTGCAAGTAGAGATGCTCGCAGATTAGTCCCGAAGGAGAGGCGCGCAAGAACAAGGCGCAAAAGGATATTGTATGCACCGAGTTTCACGTATCATCCCGTGTAATGAATTATAAACTACGCACGCACGAGCTGACCAAGAGAGAGAGAGAGAGAGAGAGAGAGAGAGAAAGGCGGAATTTCAGGATGAGAAATAAAATGCACGAGAAACGAAAAAGCAAAGGAAGTCATCCACGCGCCTAATGCGAAATTCCAACGAAAGCGTCCATATATTTATTCGTTATAAATAAACGACGGTTATTTGTTGCATTCGATGCTCGTTTGGCCGTACTTTGCGTGTTTTATTGTGGCACTCGTTTGCGCGCCGAATAATGAAGCTTATAAACTTTCTCCGCTTTTTTTCACTGTGCGCGCGCGCGTGTGTTTTATTTTATTTTTGTAAAACAAAGCGTATAAAGAGAGATACGTTAATCGTAGCGAGAGATACTTTATTTTGGGCAAAAATGTGAAAATTTGTTAAAGCCTTATCGTTGCGGCGCATACCTCGAGGACGACCGTGGCGACCGTTAACGACCATGCCAGGGGAGAATTATTGGAGCAGGCTTGCGCCGAAAAAGCTTATTAATTGAATTTCGCCGAGAAAGAGACTCTACGCTCGATAAACCGAAAATTGCAACGTCTCGTATGAATTGATATCGTTCGAAACTTGATATTTTCACGGGGCAACGAATATATCGATACGATCGAAATTTTTAATTCATCCATCCATCATTCGTCGCATTTGAATAAGGCAGTAAGAACGTCCCCCGCAAACACACTGCAGAAGTCAGAGGCGCACGAATCGCGCCAATGACCGTTGGCAATCGAATGGCTTTTCACGGAATGCGAGCGTTTAGCGCGGCAATCAGTCCTCCTGGCGACGCCATTAACCGCTAGTGTGGCGGGTATATTTTCTCCGGCGTAATTTGTCATTTTGTCCCAAAAACGCAAAAGATATATACACATAATTACGAGGATAAAAAGGCACACGCACATACACACGCCGAGGGACTCGTGCGCGCATTTATGCGCATATCGGTTTGCAGCAGCAGCAGATCCTACCAGCAGCAGGCGGAATATAAAAAATGATCGGCCAAGTGCTGAAGATGATACTGCGTCACGCACGTATCCATCATCATATTTTGCAGACAGATATATACAGAGAGAAAGAGAGAGAGAGAGACACACACAGACACAAGCACAAAGTCTTATATATATACACACGAGTGTAATATACGCACGGGCAAAAGGTGGCAGTGGCGGGCAACGGCGCGCAGCGAACGAGCTCGTGGTGGCCGTGCAGCAGCATGTAAGCGCACAGCTGTACACACATATATACACAGATCGCCCCACTCCGCGCGAAAACCGGCGACTTTGCGCTGCTTCTGCGAGTGAGTAAGCAACAGTTTAGTACCGACTCGGCCGCCGAGTGGAGCGTTTCTTTTTACGTATATGCGTAATCTTCGTCTGTTTTTTTGTGAGTGTGTTTATCTATGTGTGTGTGTGTCAATGTGTGTGTGTAAGCACATGTTCGTTGCGTAATCTGCCGTGAAAACGTTTGAAATTCCAAGTTGGAGTCGTTGGAATTGAAAAATTCGTTTTTCCGTTAAACGAACGAGTGCACGATAAGGGCGGGATTGCGAAGAGATACCGGTGGTGAGTGTGGTTTGTTGTGCTGTGCGTGTGTAAAAACAGTGTGTGTGTGCGCGAATATCGACGAATCGATGAAAAATCCATCCGTTTAATATAATAGCAAATTGTGATTTACTACTTCCAATTCCGGAGTAGCTGTGCGCGAGGAATAACAATTGCCAAGCGAACCCAGCACTTCCGGACACACAAACGACGACGACGACGTCTCTCACTGTGCATCCGAGTTTCTTCCACATCATAACGAATACAGAATTCGAATGTTTGTTTGAATATTCTCGGTCTGTCGGTGCGTTCCGAACGTTAAACGCTCGACGACTCCGACTTTTGCACGTACACGTCTATTTAGCTTGCCGCCAGCTGATAAGCTGCTCGTTTATTGCGGAGAAATTCAAATGCACCGACGCAAGTCGGTGTCGCGAATGAGTGAATATTAGTGCCACAGCGAATAAAAATATATACGCGTAGCCAGGCACAGAGCCGCGAGCCGTTTGCGTAACAGTGCGTTATTTCGATGCAGAAAAGTGAGCGAAATTGCGACGAGTTGATTTTCCGAGCAGCAGTGTCGTGTTGAATCGAAAAATAAATAAATAAAAAAGAGGAGTCGAATCGTTGCTCCGTTTCGCGGAGGTGCTCTTCTCTGCAGTATTTCGTGATATACAGTGGGTGTATTGTACACATAATACAAGCCGCGCGCGCACGAAGCCGGCGAGTGTTTCGCGCGACAGCGCACGTGGATATATACATCTATACTTGGAATACGTAAGTCGGCGCGTGCAGACTGTGTGTGTGAGTGTGTGTCGGTATATGTGAGTACACACAAATGAGCATATGGCATCGAGCAAACAAGCCGCAACCGAAGGAATGAATTTTGTGCCGATGCAGCAGCAACATTAGCAGCGCGGCGCATCGACAACAAACCCGCAACGACTCATTGTGAACGAGGTAAGATACGTTCGGTTTTCACCGCGCGAGCAGTTGCAATATTTTTTTTCTCGACTTTATTTTCGATCGGTCAAGAATCATTGGACAGTCCATTTTTTCGAGGAAATAATTAGAGCGTGCATTTTTACAACATGCCGGTATATAAGAGAAAGAGAGAGAGAGCGAAACTCGGGTTATGCACGGTCGCTACTATATAAATGCGTTGCCGTTATAAGGCACGTATGTATACGCGTGCATGTGTGTACGCTCATGCCGGCAACATTAAAACATTATGACTTTCTGCCTCCGTGCATGCATATACATACACGTATACATAAGTATGTATATAAGCACGAGTCTAGAGCATAGAACAGGCAGTCGTTGGCTAAATCACAATGATTTGGCGTCGATGCAACTGCTGCGCGCGTAGACGACGACGACGACGACGACGACGACGATTTAGACATTCGCTGCACTCTATATACTCGACCGAAAGCCAAGCTTGTTTTCATTCGAGCATACGTCGAGAGCTGCCCGTAACCGCTACACAATATCTAGCCGACGTTTGGCCGCTCGTATAATATATATTATAAAATGCACCATCGAGACTTGTTCGCGCTTTTGTAAATTACTGCGCGTGCTTCGCGGCGTTGACTTTCTAAATGATGACAAAAAACAACATTGCTAATAATACTTGAAAATTAAAGTTTCCAGTCGTTTAACTGGACAATTTCGAGGCAATGAAACTTTTACTCTTGCGCAAGACTTTGGCAATTGCATTGCACCTATATTCGTGTAAATCATTATTAATGATTTCAAAATTAACGCGAGTCCAATGGGGCGTAGGTCACACTTGTTGAAATTATCAGCAACTTAGATGCGTTACCGACTCGTACCGATCTAAGCGAAAAAAGGAAACTTTTCCAAAATTCTACAACAGCTACAACTTTGGCTATCGCTATCTAAGGCTTACTTATCGACATCGCAGCAGATTTACGATAAATATCAAACGAGCTGAAAAATCGTTTAGCACCCGATTGAGCGTATTTTTCGAGAGAAATGAGAAAATTAATAAAAAAAGTAACAGGCGTATAGCAGCTCGGCGGAATAAGCGCGCACAAATATTTAAACACTGCAATACGCGCGTACTGTCAATATACAAGCGCGGCGCAAACGTTCTTATCTGCCTCTCGTATTCTAGTTATAAAGTCGCTATCTTCCAACGGCAGCAGCAACAACGACACATACACAAACGCCTGTACATACACACGTACGTATCGGTACATACTAGTGCGCCCGGTCAGCGGAGTATTTATACGAATAAGCCAACAGCTGCATCGATAGCATAATGAAATTGCAATTTTATTCCCTATCGATACAGCACACACACACACACATTTCTAATGGCATTATATTATTTCTTCGTAGAGATCGTGTATTAAGTTATCTAGCAATGTACCTTTGATTACGCCTTATTAACGTTAAAGATTTAATTTCCACTTATCGAGTTCAGGATACTTCGTTCTCGCTCCAGAGCCTAGTCGAGTTATTTATATCGTTGATATAATGGTCAAAGGATGACGACTGTGACCGAATACAATTAATCCGTGATCTAGCGTAATTTGCTTCGACGCGCGAATGGCAGCATTGAGGTCATTTTTTCCCGAGCGTACCGTGCAAGTTTTTCCAGTTTCTCGGATGCACTACTGCGTGCTATTTTTTTTTTTTTTTTATTTATCGATGATACCACCCGCGTCAAGGTTGTTCAAAAAAATTGTCGCATGCTCGCTGCGTTATTCAAGGAATGTTTTCAACTATTTCTCGAAAAACAATTGCTCGTCCGACTTAATTGTTTGATTATTTAAAATAAACACGCCTTCGATTCCGAGTAAAGCGTGAAAATTTTCTTTTCCAAGTTGAAAATTTTCAGAAACGATTTCGCGTAAAATGTGGCAAAATTATCGCTACCTGATCGTGAGCGATACATAAAAAGGCTTTCTCCGCGCGCACAGGCATGCACCAAGTAGGATAGGTATGCGTATGCGCGCCTTCTCTCGTCGGTGCCTTCCTCGAGACCGGCCAGTGGCAACGGCAACGGCAGCAACGCGCGTGATTGATACGTCGCATTTGAATTGAATGTTGTACACGGATGCATATACGTGTACGCGCGAGTGTACCTTTCGTATTTAACTTGGACATTTTTCGTGAAATCACGTTGATTGTCGTGTATTCCCGGGAACATTTCGCTCCGTATACTATAACGACGAGTTGAAAAAATTCGCTCGCGATCTCTCGATTTCCCGAATCGCGAGCGTGCCTTTAACGAATTGTAACGTCAGTGAGAAGAAAAGTAACCAACATACGAATTACGGTATTTGTACCGACTTTTTCTACTCTTCAGTTTTTTGCATTTTATAATATGAAGCGACGCGTGAGCAATTGTCTATCGGGGATTTACCGACTCGTCCGCGCCCGCGAGGCAAGATTTTTTCCTTGTTGTATAATGTGTAGACTCGCGACGGGGCCACATGAAGCCATTAAAATTTTATAAAGGAGAATCCATGAATTTAATTCAGAGACTCAGGGTTTCCACTCTACGAATCGTTAAATGACTTCATTCGCCTTGCAGTTGCTCGATTGGTGAATTATTACTACAAAATTGCAATTTTCGATTAATACTTCGACATTGAAAGTATATCGCTTGCCTTTTTACTCTGAAATAGCCTGAACATATGCATAATGTGTATTTCTGGACCACAATAAAAACTTCCAATAATATTTCTCTACCCATAATCCGAAAAAATATTGACGTGACATCTGTCTCTTCACCAAGTGTTGTATTTTTAATAAAACGAGCTTCACATATTATATATTTAGTCGCACACACACGAAAACGATTTTATGCTCGGTTAAATCTGGAAATCGTAATTGTTTTAACTTTTCATCTCAGTTTGTAATTTTTGATTCATCGAGTACAACAAAGATATCGTGGTTCGCATCTGCAACATTTGTTTACATACCATGTAGTGAATTTTTGCCCGTTAATGTGTTGCTCACCCGAAGAAATCTTTTATTGCCTTCAAGTGCTATTTCAAGATTCCTCTTTTTATTATTGAAGAGCAGCCAAGTCTCAAAGATTACAAATTTTCAGCGAGGCTCCTTTAATGCCTTTTTTTTATATGTATCAACAACATCGTACGAAAATTCACCACGACGAAGCTTGGCTCGATGCAAAGACAAAAAACGAACGATGTGCTAATATGAAAATAAAGCATAAACATATTGAATTTCATACTCGACAAAATTTCTCTTCATCTTTTGGCAATAATATTAAAATTAAGAAATCACTTATTTCATTTCCACTTCTTCAGATCTTCATTAAAAAGCGTAGACAAACTTCCTTGTAGTATTTGCGTTTTTGCAAAACTACGCTGAATTGGCCACTTCTGCACAGAGCCAAACTTTTGCGATGAGTTTTACACTTTTACCTTGATAATGTACACTTCTAGACAGAATAAATTGTACATTTCAATAACTCCTTGTATCTCTTGAATGACTTCGTTCGACTATCATATTTCGTAATTTTCAACATCCGAAGGTTTTTCTCACCGGCGATTCATATGCGTATAATACAGTCCGGATATGCTGTATACCATAATTGCACGCTGTCATTACACAAGCCTCATAGAAACGTACAAATAAATCAAAGTCTCGTTATGCACTGCTCTTTTTTTCATCCGATCATTTGGTGCGTTCAACTTTGAAAATTGTACGTTGTCACTTATTATACCACAGCTTGAAATGATAAACGTTTTGCATTCGTTCAGATTTCAGCATGCACGTACTATGCATGTGTGGACAATTGCTTAGATACGTACTTGAATAATGTACACGATTGCTTTTTTTGCCTCACAAGTCCTGAAGTTTCGCTTAGCTTCAAATGACATTACCTTGTACTCTGGCCGACCTCATTCTGGTAATTAAAAAGCGTTCAAATTTTCAACGTTACATACATTGGAGGCATTTGGTTAATAATTTTGTTACAAAACAGTTTGTCAACCCTAAATTTTCAAACGAGTCAGCACAACGGAGGCTGATGATTCATTTGAAAGTTTCCCTGCGTTATTACTGTGCCAACATGCTTTCTATCGTACATTACGGTATGTGCACGAGAAGGTCTCGTGCGTAAGATAATCTTATTGTACTATGGTAAATATACCCTGGTGCATGCAAAAATTTTACTCCAACAACCAGTCTTTGAATTTTTATTTCAAGCAATATTATTTCATCGAAGTAGACATTTTTTATTTACGCTAATTCGTCAACGCTCAAAACCACTAAGAAAATTCCCCGACGATAACATATTTTTGTAAGCAGCAATAATACTCTTTTATAGCTTCTTTCTCAAGGGAGCCGTGATTTGAATGCACGGGTATTCCATGCTGCAGTCGTCTATAAAAATACAAGCACATCTCGTAACGACGAATGAATCATAAAATTTGAGAACGTCAAAAGTATTTTACATGCTGCATACGACGCGAGCCTCATTGCTCATAATTATTTTTTCATATTTTTTTGCATGCACTCCTGGCAATCTTTTATTTATGTGCAATCCCAACATCTAATCTGTCATAAAAATACCTCTTCGATGCAAAAAAAAAAAAACATACAATAATAACCGCACACGATGACAAAGTAAAGGCAATTTCACGACTTCTCTGACGCAACCACACATACAAACGCATGGAAATGAGGATAATGTGACCAACTCAAAGAGTTTCTTATGACGATATATAAAGCGTATAAAGGCAGTCGTTCCGAAGCGTGAGAGATTTGAAAAAAATTGCTCGACATTGTGTACGACACGACGACGACGGCGAATCCGTCTGTATAAATGAAACCGTAAGCCTGTAGTACATAAAATATGACACAGAACGAGGTGTATGTTTGCATATCATATACAACGAGATAAAGCGCGCATTATAAATATATATCGTATGTATAGGTACGCATGCGTCGGT